ATATATTTATACACTGATTGGCTGGAAAAAGCATTCGATGAACTTGTTTTGAAGGAGCTTGAAAGTCCTGCGCTGAAGTTTCAAGGACAGAATTAGTTGTCAGTAAATAACTTAAGTGGGAATCAGTCCTCACAAGCATAGAAGTACAACTGTGTGTGTGTGTGTTACAGATTGATAAATCAATGCGATGTGTTGCTGATCTCTTCCACCACAGTCCTAACTGATCTCTTCTCTCCTCCGTCTGTTTGCTCTCAGTTTGTTTCCTTTGTTTCACTCACTGTTTGTTTTTTATTTCTCACTCATGTCATTCACTCGATCACACGCCATCGTTTACTTTCATCGCTCAAAGAGAGCGGCGCAAATCAAACTCTCAAATCAGTCTCGAATGATGGTGGTGGGGTGTGGGGGCTAGAACGGCAGGAGTATCCAGACTGTTTACGACGAGAGGGCCGTTAGGATCGATGTCTGTTTTAGGGCTGAATTGCCGGGCAGGAGAAGTGAGGGCTGAATGGACTTTATATGGTGAAATAAGCTCCGTTTTAATGCCAGAGAGCAAAGCGTTTACCTTCTGTTTGCTCCGGAGCGTCAAGCGAGACGTGGAGAAAAAAAAGAGCCAAATGATGTGCTCATAAAAACTTGACTGAATAAGACATTTGTTTCAGCTTTTATTTCCCACTCATTCTGAAGTCAGCAAAAAATAAATGCCAGTTTATTGTTTGGCTAAACAAGCATCGCGCTCCATTAGCTCCTGGAGCTGAAGCTGCCTCTAAATTAAGATGGTGCATAGACTGCAGCATGTGAAAGAGGCGTCCTTCGTGGGCCACGTAGACTCTAACGACTGAAATGTGAAGGTCTGTTGGAACAGTTTCATAGATACCTTGTTAGAAACCAGTAAATGGCGTTATCTGTGAATACACTTGGTTCATGATTAAGTATAAATGATGTTCCCCTGGTGTTATATAACTTGTCGTATCCCTCACCTTAGCCGGGGCTGCTGGAGCCCACCTCAACGCTAGTGCGGGTGGCAAAGAGCGCCAGCACCCTGGGTATCGCCATCGAAGGTGGAGCCAACACTCGCCAGCCGCTGCCACGAATTGTCACTATACAGGTGAGTCGAGTAGAAAAGGAAAATGAGGCTTCACCTTTAATAAATCTGCTTCAGTTTGATGGATATTAATACTCTCCTGCGTGTGGGTTTGATTCCCCTGCGATGGCTCCACACGCTCACCTTCCAGGTGGGATTCGATGTCCTTCAAGGCGTCACGCGGTTTCACGCTGCAGCTGAACTCACGCTGAGATTCAGGCTGACACAAAGATGATTCCCCCTTTAATGGCCTTCATGAAAAGGCTTGAGTGCCTGGAGCCTGTGGCAGGTCACCGCAGTTATTATTTCAGTACCAGGCAGTTGGTATAATGTGCATGTTGATATTTGGGAATGAAGGCAGGAGGCACTCTGAGAGGTTAGAAAGCCTTTTTACATAAAAGCCGAAGTTTTTGTTTATAATTTAACATCGAAGCTCAGAGGAATCACACGAGCTACATTTGTGTTTTTAGAAATACTGGAAATTCAAATCTCCCGACTGTGCAAAGTGCAATCTGAAATATTGAAAGCCAAACTAGACCTGACGTGTTAGTGCCCCCCTGAAAGGATTCTGTTGCTGTTGCTGTGCACGCACATATCTGTATCCCGTGCCTTTTTTTGCAAGTCAACAAAGCCCTGCATCGGATCAGGACTATCTGTTGCACTAATGATTTCCTGAACACAGAGAAGCAGGAGTTACAATTTAAAGATCAGAGGCAGACCCTGAGTCCACATTGTGTTCAAAGCTGTCGCTCAACCTCCGACTCTGCAGAGGTGGTGATTGAAATAAAAGGAGGCTTGCTCTGCTGATTGCAGGGGGAGGGATGGAAAGGGCTGGAAATCAGCACATTCATAATCAAAGAGTGGGCTGGAGGAAAGGAAAGCAAGCGTGAGGGAAGGATGCAAAGGAGGCAAGAGCGTTACCAAGGAGAGGAGGGAGGAGGTTTAAGGTGTAGCTGCAGCACTCGAGTGTTCGGTGAAGGTCGTTGTTTGGACGTGTTTTTAATCCCGAACTGCTGATGATAGAAATCTCCACAAACAAATGCAGGACCTCAGACTCTCGCTCCATTTCAGACGTATATTCATCTGAAGTGCATGTTTGTTTTTGTGTCTCCTTAAACCAACGCAATGCAAGTTTCACTCTCGGACAGGTTGGATCTGTAATTCACTACCGTAAATACAAGTTGCGATCCGAGGCTCTTCATGCACTCGTCTGTCGACGGGATGACAAGTTGACAAAGAAGAGACTGATTATTTTAAGGTATAAAAAACGACTGGTTTGCTTTAAATGAGGACACAGCTTTGTTATTTTATATGAAAGACGCTTGCTGGCTCTGCAGGAAAATATTTCTCAGCTCCCTTCACCTTCCTGATAACGAAGCAGCGAAGCAAAGTCACAAACTTTAGGATGAAATGGAAAATACAAAAAGCATTCCCAGTGGTCCAGTCTCCTGCTCAGCTCTTCAAGAGAATCGATGGATTAAAGTGTCTGTCAGCTACAGTTCTAAATCGTAATATTCCTTTTGTGTAAAGAATTCTATCATAAATCAACAACATATTGTTGCAGCGCACAAAAGCTTACTTTTGAAAATCAGTTCTGCAACTACATGCACGTTAACTTGATTTTTACCTCGATACGCAATCATGACACAACCTCGCTTCAGCCCAGTCTGATATCGAACATCAGGTTGGAGAGTTGTCGCCACTGGATTGGTGCAATCGTCCTTTTCAACATCACAGTCGAACACTGCGTGAGACTAATACAAATACAACTGGTTGCAATGAAGATTTTGTGGAATGAATTCAGTGCTTTCTCTTCCGTTCTCCTGCTGGTGGAGAATAAAGTTGACTCAAACGTTAATCAGGTTAAATTATTCATGGATCTCTAATTACAGATCCATGTTTGTTTTTAATTGCAAAGATTTCACCCAAACTTTGCTTTGTGTGGATCCCGACACCATCGATCATTAGCGGAGACGGAGCCACGAGTTACACGACACCGCTGCTGCGTCCCTGAACAATAACACTGCGTGGCTTCACCGTTATTTAAAGACATTAATAACATGGCCGCCTCCAGGTCACTTGTTAGAGAAGCGGTGGGCGATTTTCTGAGCACTTTTCAAGGTGGAAAAATAAGCCGTTAAAACTTTGCTCTGACACCTGGGAAACACTAACTCAGTGTTATTAGGCCCTTGAGCAAGGCACACGACCTCAAGTACTTCTCCCAGTCAGGACCAATCAGAGTGACACATTTTCTTTGCAGGGGGAGTTGTTGGTTTTGTTTCTGGCTTTCTGACGATGCCCCGAACGACAGCGCGTCTCTGCTGTATCGGAAGCGAGCACAGAGTTACAGCGAACCCGCGGCGCCCGCGTTCCCTATCTCTGTGGGGCACGAGATCTCTCACCTCAGGTCGCCTCAATCACTGCCGCGGAAGATGAAGCACAAATGAGTGAGCCGCCGCCAGCTAGTCAACCGTTATCAGTCCCCATCTCCCCTCCTGAGGCGACAGGCCGTTATCATCGCCATCTTCCCATCACGACGCTCCACTAGCTCAGGGTAATTGTTGTAGGCTCAGTAAATAAGAGAGGAGATGATACTGCTGCTGTCGTAGTGGCACATAATGAGGTCAGCTGCAAGAGTCAAGAGGAGGAGGAACATGAAACTGACGACGAGGATTTTATTCAGCAAGTTTTTAATGATTTTTGATTTAAATTAAGTTTATGGGAATTTCTGTAACAAGATGACACCTGATACGGTTCAATATTAATTCTCCTTTTAACTCTGCTTTGGTCTCAACCAGCTCCTGAGCTTCAGAATGTTTTACTTTCTTTAGGTAGTTTCTAACTTTGTGTGTCTATATCAAAAAAAAAAGAAAAAAAGAAAAACTGCAGAACTCATCTTTATTCTCTCTGTTTTAAATATCATAAGATGCTTCATTTTTTCTTTCCTCGTCTGTGTCACATAGTTTTTTTGTGAATGTTAAAGTTCTGCAAAGTTAGCTCCTCTTCCCCACAGAAAACATACGCTATTAAAAAACACACTTTACTATGACGTAAATCATCCACTGCAGAGCCGTGCAAAGCAAATGAAAGTCTGGTCTGACTGTGATGAAAGATGCCGAGGCTGCCTGATGTCTGCTGCTGGAGAGGAGCAAAGATCACGACGTCCTCTGGATCAAATATGACTTTAATGGTGATGTCAGGTGTCCTGAGGATTTATTTTGTCCACAGCAGAGTAGTCTTAGACGTTTAGACAGAAGCAAACACCTTCATTTCAATTCATTCAGTTCAGACTCTGTCACCCGGCTGCTGAAATTGATGGCGTTCCGAAGTTTTACTCATCCATCTGGGATTTATCGGGCCGAGGTGTGTTGCTTCATTCCGGACTCTTCTAATGTCTGAGGCTTAACAAACGAGACCCGAGCCGTCCTGCGTTTCTGAGAAGATTCACAGTGTCGGCAGACGTCGTTTTTCTCATCACAGATGAAATGTGTGAGGGGGGAGTGGTGCAGGTCAGAAGGAAGCTCCTCATTTGGTGCATCGCCCACTTCGTCTTCTGTCAGTGAGCGCCGAGGGTGAGACCTGATGTGTGTGTGCATTTATATAAATGTGCACAGTGTGACTCTCTTTCTTCGTGCTAATGAGACACCTGTCACCTTTATCGCACAATGTTGAAGTTGTGTTTGATCACAGAACACAAACCGAACCCTGAACAATGTTTGCCGTAAACACTAAGTGTCTCTGTCTTCCTCTTCCTCAGAGAGGAGGCTCAGCTCATAACTGTGGCCAGCTGAAGGTGGGTCAGGTGATCCTGGAGGTGAACGGGGTTTCCATGAGGGGCCGCGAGCACAGGGAGGCGGCGCGCATCATCGCCGAGGCCTTCAAGACCAAAGAGAGGGACCACGTGGACTTCCTGGTGACCGAGTTCAACGTGGCGCTATAGCGGAGCCGGAGGAGGAGAGAGAGAGAGAGAGAGAGAGAGAGAGAGAGCAGCAGCGAGGGAGGAGGAGCTGTTCGTGGAGAAGATAAGGCCGTGATATTCCAGCGTCTGTTGATTTTAATGGCACAACTCGTTAAGATAGACGTAAACAAACCACCACCTCATCTCCGAGCCCTTCTCTTTTCCCATTCAACTCCTGAGTCATGATACTCTCATTTAAAAGCGATTATCTCCACTGTGAACTTTGTTCAGGATTCTCCTCAACATGTTACCTCCCCACTGTGAGACCTTATGCACTACTATGGGAAATAACGAAACCTGTACCTTCTTGATTGTGTTGAAACTCGTTGGATTAACTTGTGAAAACAACCGGAAGTTCTCGTAGCACTCCCTCGTTCCCACGGTTTCATTTGATTTGTTTCCTGCTTCTGTCTGGGAGACGGCTGCAGATCCAAGACTGTTTCGTGCTCATTGCAAGCGTTGGGTTTGTATATGTAAAAATGAACAAATGTAGATACAGATGCATATATAATGTACACATAAAGATACTCCTATATGAATTATAAATCTGTAACCTCTGTTGCATCAACATATAATAATATATTTCAGAGAAGATAATTCAGGCCTTCCATATACACATTTTGCAGCGATGCTTTGCCTGTGGGTCATGTCGGGCTGAAAGTAACACGCTCGTATTTATATTTATACGATCAGACAAAGAACTTCACGTACATCAGCTATCATACGAAGATGCTTCGCTTTCTGTTTCCCCTTCATCATTCGTAGACTCCAGCACTGAACCTGCTCAATTTGAAGACGTCACTTTCTTTATTTTTTATCACTGAACTAAATGAATTAAACAATCATTTGACCTCTGCGACAGAAACATTGCAGAATAAAAGTTACCCTGAGTTTTGCCACTTGAACGCTCAACGTGAAGCAGCAGCAGAAAATATTCAGTTTGCATTTGCAAGTTACTTAATGGAGCCCTGATATAAAGGTTCAATTATAAAACCTTGAATCCACCAGATGAAGTTTATGTATTTGAATATGCCTACATTTTTTAAAACCAAGATTTATTCATTAATTATTCTTTCTTTTGGTGAAAATGTCGAACAAATGACCATGTCCCGTCCGTTCCGTTGTTTTTGTGTCATCCTGCTGACAAACAAACCTGAACGTTGGATCCTGCCCCACAAATGTACAAATACAATGCAAGGAGAAAAAATACACTGTCAACAAAAAGTAGAACTAAAAGTCAGGCTTGATTTCATGAAACTTCAATCGAGGGTTATCACACACAAGGCTGTCGTGTTCAGATAAATTCGCTCCGGAGAGATTTCTCACATTCGGCCTCTTTATGTGCGAGGTTTTCTCAGAGAACATAAACTGCCTGAGTTTCTCCCTCAGACCAGGCAACTTTACTCCTGCTGCTCCCCGTGCTGAATAACAATTGATGATTTTATTTTGTAATTTCATCATTTAATTATTCCCACCCTGGGGGGGCCTCGATGAAGCCAACGCTCGGTGCAGCGATTACTTCCCGAGAAGGGAGTAATGAGACGTTTAGAGGACGACACCGCCAAAGATTTTAGAGACACTCCTCCACACATGCTCACTCATGGTACACGTGTGTGTGTGTGTGTGTGTGTGTGTGTGTGTGTGTGTGCACATATATTATCCATTTATAGAAAAGCAATTAGGAGATAAGCAATCAGGTAGAGTGAGGGATGGAGAGAGAGAGGAAGACAGAGGAGGATGAGAGAGTGAGTCAAGAATCAAACGGGAAGTTGTTGTTGTTGTGGAGATGATTTGCTTCCTCTCAGGAAGCAGGCGAGCGCGGAGAGGGGGCGCACGGCGAAACATCGTCCGTGTGTCAATCTCACGTACTCACGTCAGGCTGCAGGTGGAGATATGTGGAGTAACTGGAGTCATTCGTCAAGTGTGTGTGTTGAGAATGAGCGGGTTATTGGGTGAAACAGTGTGTTCAGAAGAAGGAGGCGGCAAATAACACAAATGCAAATGTCATGAAGGGAGCTGCAGAACGAGACTCTCAGAGGGAGGGTGGTGGGGGGGGCTGTCGTCTGGCAGTCCGAGGCCTGTGAAGAAGGTCAACAGGGCAGCTCTGTGAGAAACTGCCTTCACACTCTTCAGACGTTCTGCTGACAACTGAGAGAATTTTGTTTTTACACCATATCTGCTGTGTTCCTTCCAAATGTCACCTCTCCAATGCACAGAAAAAACAATGTGAGGTCATCCCAGTACGTCTGTGCACGTGAGGCCCAACCATGATCTGGAGATAGACTTATTTTAAATGCATTCATTTCATATCAGGCAAAAAAAAAACCTGATGATGTTTGTCCGTCTCTCAATTTCTTTTATTCTGTATGAATTGATTTTGGTCTGATTTTGTCGTCATTCTCTGATTCGCGTTGACTCATTTTTCGGTCCCAGTGGTGAATCCATCCTCCTTTTAGCTCAGTTTTGTTCTCCACCAGCTCGCAAGAAAGATATTTGGCTGTTTAGCTTTGTTCGTCTGTCGTCTGGAGCGGCACAGGTCGCGTTCAGCCGGTTTATCTGGGCCTGTTTACTGACTCCAGCTGCCTGCTGCTGCTGGCATTGGCGTTGATGAGGGGGCTGAGACTGGTGCACGCACAGATGGTCCGTCCGTGCAAGAAGTGAAGTAGTGAAACGTTCCTCTGCAGAGAAGCGTTCGCTCTCACTACAGGGCAAATCATTATAAAACCATTATGATACCAATATGCCAAGGTGCATGCACACCTGGCTTTGAAATGGAAAGGCAGATGGATCTATTGCATGTTACACACAAAATGAGGTGCCTCTTTTGTTATCCTTCAGCAGTAATGGATTCGGATGCAGATTATTGATGCGAAAATGCAGAATCTGAACGTGAGGGACAAGATTTCAGGGCTGGAGGTAAATACATCAGCTATTGGCTTTTTCATTTGTCTTCATTCATATGCAGATAGCTGTTAATATGAGCGATTGTTAAAAGTGTGCGGCAAATGGAAGATGTTGTCTTGGCCTGTCTCCAGCAGAAGCCCCAAAATATTGGTTGCTGCCTCTAGAGGCTGAGTTTGGATTCATCCCTAATGCACTGAGCGTTAACATGTTTAGAACAGAGCCCGTATCGTCTGCTCAGGCAAAAAGCAAAGCAAAGTTTCAGCATTTACGATGAAACGCTTTTTGTGTCCCTGAGCTTAATGAATCATGCATAAACGTGCAAAGACAAAAGGAACAAGCAGAATATCAGAAGCAACCCAGAGTTTCTGGTGAGATTTTAGATCTGTCAGAGGCTGAACACGAACACAGAGACACAGGACTTCTCACACGGTTGGTGTGACTGGTTCAGTCTTGACCCTGCGCCTGTAAATCATATTTAATATGTGAGACTTTAACGGTTAATCCTGCCGCAGGGTTTATAAAACACATTTGTCCGTGGCTTTCATTAACAAGTCAACAGGCTCAGCCAGTTTATGTAGAGGCTCTTATTCATATATGCAAATAGTTTGTTGATTTCCATGGTTTCTGAATACGACCATTAACATGATTAGAAAAACTGTTTGCATATTCAGCACATGTTACAAACAAATGAGGAAACCAAAGTGCTCACAGCAACAACAGGAGAGCAAACTTAAAATTCATGACGCAACAGTGTGTGTGTGTGTGTGTGTGTGTGTGTGTGTGTGT